TGGAACTGGCAGGAACTGGAAGCGGGGGAGGTTCGAGAAGGTTTCTTCCCCGTTGTCCGGGGACCCATACCCAAATGGAGACCCAGGCCGCAGAGCACAGTCCTTCTGGAGCACAACTACAGCAAACTTCCACACTGCAATCCAGAACTCCAGGCAGCAATACGGGCACCAGCTCCTCCTCCTCAGCGCTATCAGCATTGGAGAAAATCAACAGAATAAAAGAGAGCCCCCCCAGCATGACTGTAAATCAGGTTTCAGGCTCCCCGTGTGCTGGTAGCAGTGACAAACAAGAGAAAGCACCTTCTGCTCCGGCAGGTCCAGGCCAGGCCTGGGGGGCACCAGCCGTCAGGGATGGCACAGTCCGTGTCACTGTAACCACAGCAGATACCAACACAAGCGTAACTAAGGTAGCACCTACAGCCTTAGGAGGGACCAGCTCAGATGTTTCTAAAAGCAAATCTCCTTCCCCTCTGGTGTCTTCACTGACATCCCCGAGCTCAGAAGCCCAGGCTGGAGGTGTGATCACATCTGCTACATCTGTCCCGCCCTCGAACACTTTGTCAGTAGCACCTAGCCTTAAAACTCACCCAAGTTCAAGCTCAAGTGGGGCCCTCCCAAAACCAAGCTCCAGTATTCCTGCCAACAACCCTTTGGTGACTCAGCTGCTTCAAGGCAAGAATGTACCCCTGGAAAAAATCCTGCCGAAGCCTCTCACCAAAGCAGAGATGAAAACTGTCCCGTTGGCTTCTCATGAAGAAAAAGGGGCAGCAGCAGCAGCCAGAGCTACAAGTGTAGCAGGGAGCGGCGCTGGAGCCGAGGGTGGTGACAGGCAATCGAGTTTACCCACACAACAGCTTGGGAAGATCTTTTGCCAGAACAGGACTCTGCCTCACGTTCCAAGGCCCTTTCCATTCCCCTCGGGAAAGGACCCCAGTCCTGACCAGCACCAGTGCCACGAGGCGCTCAGCAAAACAACCCAAGAACAGATCCTTCAGACTCTTATCAAGAGAGTCCAGAGGCAGAACTTGTTGCCAGTCCTTCAGCCTTCACAACTGAACCTCACGCACTCAGGTTTCCAGTTAGAAAACAGCTCCAGCAGCCAGAGATTTGTGCTGGGTTTCATGGGCAGAAGGACGTCCAAGCCCGCCATGTCTGGTCATTATCTGCTCAACATTTCCACCTATGGTCGTGGTTCAGAGAGTTTGAGGAGAGGCTTCTCCTTGAACCCTGAAAACCGCTTGTGTCTGAACAGTCCTGCTGATGCTCCAAAACCAGAATTTGGGGAATGTGAGGAGACAGCTGGCCATGGCAGCAGCAGTGATGAAGGAGATGCAGATGATGAGAGTACTGGCGATGAACAGGAACGCATCGGTGTCAAAGAGGAGCCCCGGGCTGCCCAGGCTTCTGCTCAGTGTGAAAAAGAGCAGGTAGCACATGGCATAAATTCTTCAGATTACAGCACTGTTGCAAAAAAGGGTGTAAAGACCAACGCGGCCACACCTCAGCAAGCAGCAGGCAACAAGGAGAACGTTCAGGTGCTTGATGGAGCGACACTGGCACGAGATTTTATTCAAGCTGCTCAAGAGCAAATGGCACACGCAATGAGGGGGAAAATGCACGGCAACACGGAGCTTTTCAGTGCTTCTGTACCGTCCTCGGACTCTGCACAGCAGCAGCCTCCGCTGCTTTCTCCTTCGCACCCTCCAAAGCTCTCTGGAAACGCGGCAGCACAGCTCATTGGGCCCAGTTACAGTGGCACAATAAATGTCTCCACCTCCCCAGACGTGAACCAAGGGTCTCTCATGACGGGGCTGTCAGAATGCAATCAGTTGTCCAGTAGCATGGGGAACGTCATGTCCTTTTCCGTGACTGTAACCACCATTCCCACCAGCCAAGCTATGAACTCTGGCAACCACAGTCAGACCATCCCCGTTCAAGCCTTCGCTGAAGACAACAGCCTGGAGGATTCCCCTTCCAAATGTTACTGCAGGTTGAAAGCCATGATCATGTGCAAGGGCTGTGGTGCCTTCTGCCATGACGATTGCATTGGCCCCTCTAAGCTCTGTGTCTCCTGCCTCGTTGTGCGGTAACCGGGACGGGAAGCGGGGAGGAGGATGGCTCAATTTGGGGTTTGCTTTTGGAAGTACATTGGGAAGAAACAGGAAATTTACTGCCTTGCACAAGAGACACGTTACTGAATCAGGAATACAGAGTAGAGTTCTTCTTTCATTAAAGAAAGAGCACCTTCTTGTACAGTGAGTCTAAATTGAGCTCAACTACGTGAATTGTGACAAGAGTTTGCACTTAAGGAATTATGTAAATATGTCACATTATTTTGTTTAAAAATATTTTTTCAATCTTTTAGGAGCTAGTGTTTGACTTGTACTGCAGTTTCATTAACCCCAGCCTGCTCTCCAGCATGTTTGCTGAGCTCTGCTCTAGGTGGGGGGGACAAACCCCCGGCAAAACCGTAGCCTGTTGGTCTTCTCCGGACAAAGAGAAGAACGGGATAATCGAGAAATGAACCGTTTGTGCTGACTGATCCCAGAGCACCGAAGCAGGCACCCCCGAGGGGGCTCACTTTGTTGCTCTAAATTTTAGTTCCAGTTTTTCCGAATTGGAAGGCGTTAACGTTGTACCAGCCTTTCGAGTAATTGCCTTTCACGTGTGACCAGGCTGTTTCCAGAAGGCATACTGGGTTGTGCAATACCGGCTGGTGTTTCTGATTTGCATATCCCCTCCTCTCCGAGGAGTCAGTTGCAGTAACCTCGTTTTAAGGAAGGAAGTGTCTTGATTTGCTACTGGCAAATACCGAAAAAGGCAACTGTACTAACCATAGGATTTAAGCATTTAAATCACTAAAACAACTCAGTAGCTGTGATTATCGGTAATCCCAGGAACCATTTAAAGCAGAGATCACAAATTTGTGCTGAACTGCATTTTATTTCTGGACTGTCGGGACTCAGCAGAAACCTGCATTTGTATCAGGCATTTCGAGTGAGCCGGGAAGCGCCGTCACACAGTTACCAACCATCAGCTGCCACAGCACACGCTGTAGTGACGTGCACTAAGTGTCCCCCTCGGTCCTGCTCTTTGCTAGGAAGCTTACTGTGCTTGTTCGAACCTCCCCCGTAGTCGGGCGTCTCTCATTTCTATGGAAGATTTTATATTTAGCTAAGTATAGGGAAAGGAAAACGGAGTGTCTTGTTGGGCGTCACCGTTTGCCCGCTGTGGGTGTCTCTTTGTGTTTTAAAATACCAAATCAGGCTTGACTCAGCTTGGGTGTCGCTCAGTTGAGGTGTGGGGT